AGGGGATAAAAGGCCCGGCGGGCTCTGGGCTCAGCTCCAGGCTCTGTGCCCTCCTGCAGCCCAGCAAAGCCGCCACCATGGTGCACTGGTCAGCCGAGGAGAAGCAGCTCATCAGCAGCGTCTGGGGCAAGGTCAACGTGGAGGAATGTGGGGCCGAGGCCCTGGCCAGGTACGTCCAGCTCAGGAACCCGCAGAGAAACCCCTCTGGTCACAGGAGTGGGAATGTGTCTGACTGCCTGCTTGTGTCTCTCCCCAGGCTGCTGATCGTCTACCCCTGGACCCAGAGGTTCTTCTCCAACTTCGGGAACCTGTCCAGCCCCACGGCCATCGTTGGCAACCCCAAGGTCCGTGCCCACGGCAAGAAGGTGCTCACCTCCTTCGGGGAGGCCATCAAGAACCTGGACAACCTCAAGGCAACCTACTCCAAGCTGTCAGAGCTGCACTGTGACAAGCTGCACGTGGACCCTGAGAACTTCAGGGTGAGCTGTGCTTGGGGCTTCACCCTCCGTCTCTCCTTCCTCAGAGCATCTCAGTGCTGGGGGGTTTCAAACAGGCATAAATAACTCATATTTTATTTACCAAACAGGAAGAGGTTGGCTGGGGTGGGAACTGGGGGAGGGAGGAAGGTTTGGCATTTGATAATGCAGGGGAATACCAGGTTCCAGGCTGTGAGGACAAATTTAGGGGCAAACACAGGGAGATGCTCTGAAAGCCTGGAGGCTCATGCAGGCATGGCTTGATAAAAGGGGAAGGATGTTGGGAGGCTGAGTGGGGCTGAGGGTGGAGAGCAGGGAGGGAAGGAGGGTGGAGAATATGGAGGGAAGTCCCCCTGGCACCTCCTGGCCCCAAGGATAGGGACTACTTTGTTGGGGATCATTTCATCTCCCCATTTCCCAGGCTGGCAGGCATGAGAGGAGAGGGAAAAGCAAGTGTGGGATGGTCTGGGGCTGGACACTGATGGGAAAAGATGGAGACTGGGATTGGAGAGAGAGGAGAGGTCTGAGTGGGGGGAGAGGATCAGCAGAGGAGGGGGGGAAGGAGGGGAGAGAAGCCAGAGGTCAGGGCATAGGGCACCCTCGCTGAGGGTGAGGAGAAGGAGCAGATCAGGCTGGAAGGGACTGGGAGGGCTGGATGGGGCTGGGGGCCTCTGCTTCAGCCTCTGTCTAAGCCTGGCACTGGGGATGTAGCAGGTGGACCTGGCACTGACCCTCTGCTCCAGCAGGTGTGGGGTTTCACAGCAGAAAAAAAAAAAAAAAGACAAAATATCTGGAAATGAAATCCAGAGGCTGGAAAATGCAGGTGTGAGAGGAAGCAGGTGGATAAGGGTGCCTGTGGCCAGCACAGGGCTATTGTCCTGCACAGAGCATTCTGATCCCAGAGCAGGGTGCCCCCAGCCCCTGGTGCCAGGCTGCTGTGCAGGACCCAGGGCTGTCAGCACCCTGCTGACCTGTGTCCCTCCTTCCCTCCCCTCTGCAGCTCCTGGGTGACATCCTCATCATCGTCCTGGCTGCCCACTTGGGCAAGGACTTCACCCCCTCGTGCCAGGCCACCTGGCAGAAGCTGGTGGGTGTGGTGGCCCACGCCCTGGCCCACAAGTACCACTGAATGAATCCTCGGGATGCAGCTGCCTCTGTGACAGGCAATAAACCCCACATTTTCCGGAATTCTCTGTGTTCTGTGTCTCTGTGGCTGCCTGCGGGGTGGGAGGAGGGGAGGGGCAGGAAAAGGGGGTGGTGGGCTCTGGGGTGATGGAGTAGCACACCCCAGGGAGGCAGCCAGGCTGGGCACAGGGAGCCAGGCTGCTCCTCCCAGCCCTCTGGGCTCTCTCAGGCATCACTGCTGCTGCCCTTCCCTGCTGGTCCCAGAGCTCCACACACAATGTGATGTTGGGGTGTTCCCCACAGACAGAGCTCCAATGGGACATCAGGGGATACTGGTCTGAAAATCAGCGATGGGCAAAGCCCAGCCCACTCAGTGCCAGCCCAGCCAGTCCCCCTGAGCTTGCTGAAATGCCTGGGGAGGGGGGATTTAGCCCTGTTCTCTGCAGAAGGCCAAGTGCAGGGCAAACAGGGACCCCCCTGGCCCTAAACTTTTCTGCATGGGATGCCTGCAAGGATGTAAATGTGCAGAGATTCACTAATTAGGCAGAAGTTTGGCCCCACACAAGGATTTAAATGTGTAGAAGTTCACTGGGTAGGCAGAAATTTGCCCATCCATACTTTGGTACCAATGTATTTTTAAGAAGTTGATCAAAGGCATTTTCTGCACCAGTTCTGAAAACACCCCCCGTTACTTTGTGCATTTTGATCAGAATTCAGTGTCTGAAACATCTGCCCATCCCCAGGGGATGGGATGAGGGATGAGGGAAGCTTTCAGGCAGGACGGATCAGAGCCTTTTTTTACTCATTTTGGTTTAATGGTAACGTATTTTTTCACTGGAATGGGAAGATTCCATGTAAGCACCTCCGTTTCAGCAGTGCTTTTTCAGGAATAACTTAAAAAAGCAACAAGAAGAGACAAGTTGGTGTCTCAGGATGGTGAAACCCTTGTTTTGCATGATTTAGGAATACATTTTCTGCCTTTCTCTTGATAAAGCAGGGAACTTATGACCACTCTGTCCTGCAGACAAAGGGTCCAGGCTCTCTGGCAGCACTGGGAACATTCTGGGTTGAATAGAAAAAGGCCCCCAAAACTGCATCCAGCTTTCCTGCAGCATGGCCTCTCCTTCCAGCCAGCAGTGGGCATTTCAGTGTGATTCCAGGAGGTGAGACCTTTCTCAACACCTTGTTCCAGTCCAAACCCTTGGGAATTTGCCACCACACCCACAAAATGATGGTGGATGCACCAGCAGCACTCCCAGAGCTGCTGGGGTGTTCCCAGCACGGTCCCAAAGCAGCCCCCACGTGTGCAGTGGCTGTGGACATCAGAAATGTGTGCTTGTCCCGGTGTCTGTGAACTCCTTCACCACCCTGTGCTCCTCCCCTATGGACACATCTCTGGGGGGGGTGTCCTGCTCCCTGGACAGCACAGGATGGTCCTGTTGGCCTGGATTGGGGTGGATTTGGGATACAGGGGCAGGGTGAGGTGCTGGTGTCACAGAGCCAGAGGGTCCCACTTTCCCAGTAAGAGTTGTCCCTCTCTGGTGTGAGAAAGCAAAGTTACAACCAACCACCCCCCTGACCCCAAAGTGGGGGGGTAGAGGAGAGCACTGGGTACTGTGGTTGCCCCTGCATCCCTGGGAGTGTCCAAGGCCAGGCTGGACGGGACTTGGAGCACCCTGGGCTGGTGGAAGGTGTCCCTGCCCAGGGCAGGGGTGGAGCTGGATGGGCTTCAATGGCCCTTCTCATCCAAACTATTCTGGGATTTTGGAGTGGGAGCAAAGACACCCTTGAAACCTGTTGGCTTTGGACACCAGACACTGCATGTTGCAGAGGGGAGTGGGGGCTGGCCTGGCTCCAGAGCCTGGGCACAGATGCCACAGCTGCTGATAAGCGCTCTGTAAAGCTTGGCGTGGGACACTCCTGCTGCAATCAGCGACAATTAACTCTGCCTGTGCAGAAGGGCCGTCCCTGGAGCTGCCTTTGGACATAATTGGAATGGTTTGTCTCTAAAAAGGAAGGTTTCTGCCCGTGGAAGAAGGCAAGTGTGTGGCCAAGACATCAAGCATGACTTGAGCAACCTGGTCTAGTGGAAGGTTCCCTGCAGGGGACTGGAGTGAGGGGATATTGCAGATCCCTTCCAACACAAACCATTCCATGATCCTAGGATTCCATGATTCCCAGATTCTATGACTTAGGAGATCTTCCCCCACACAAAAGGAACCAGCTAGCTGGGAGGGTGCTTGGGGGCAGAGTCCTGAGCACAGTGAAATCCATGCCAGGCAGACAGCTACACAACCCCTCGTTTTCTTTCTGGGGATAAGCTGCCAGCTATTGCTGGGGGTGCACTGGGGAGAGGAGATCTCCTTTTGATTCTGCAAACAGGAACAAAGTTTCAGGATTTGCCCCTGCTCAGCACCTTGTGATGACCATTTCCCCTCCCACCCTGTGTCCCCAAACTGCTCTCTCAGCAGACAACCTCTGTGCTGGGAGCCCCAGCTCCCAAAACCTGCCAGCCAGGCTGCTGCCTCCCAGCCATAAAGAAGGGGATATTAAAATGGAATTAACTCTTCCTTATAAAAGTGGATGAGGCAGATGCATCCCCTGGAGAAGCCCCAGGCTGAGCCCAGGGCTGGGACTGTCTGGGCCTGTCCTGCCTTTGGGTTTTGCCAGGTCTCAAGTACCCAGAGCTGCTCAGAGCAAACGTCCCTGCTGTCCTGGCCAGGCTCCCCCTGCCATCCTTGGGGGCACCTTTGGGGCAGTGTCTGCCTGGCTGGGAGCTCGTTACCCGCTGTGGCTGCCCCTGCATCCCTGGAAATGCCCCAGGCCGGGTTGGATGGGGCTTGGAGCAGCCTGGGCTGGTGGAAGGTGTCCCTGCCCATGGCAGGGGATAGCACTGGATGAGCTTTAGGGTCTCTCTCCACAGGAAGCAGTGTGTGATTCCCTGATTCGAGTGCAAAGGCCAGCAGGAACAGGGATTCCTGGTGGAATCCAGAACCCCCGGCCGGGCTGGGCCGCGCCGGCAGCTCCAGTGTGTGCTCGGGGCTGAGCGTGGGGGGAGGTGATGCTTGTCCACCCCAAGGCAGAGGGGGGAAAGGGCCCCTTTTCCCCTTGGACAGCATCCAAAAGCGCTATCTTTCCCTGTGCAGCCCCGCTCCCTCCCTGGCCCCGACCAATGGCTCCAGAACTGAGATTAGGCCGAGCCTGTATAAAAATGCCGGGGGCAGCCTCTGGCACCACCTCCTGCCATTGTCAGGGAAGCCCCAGGCAGCCCCTCTGCTCGGCACCATGGTGAACTGGACAGCTGAGGAGAAGCAGCTCATCACCAGCACCTGGAGCAAGGTCAACGTCGCCGAGTGCGGTGCCGAGGCCCTGGCCAGGTAGGTCGAGCTCTGGGAACCTGCCCAGAGGCACCTGGAGAGAGGAACCACTCCCATCACAGGAACATTAATATGGGACTGTTTGTGTCTCTCCCCAGGCTGCTGATCGTCTACCCCTGGACCCAGAGGTTCTTCGCTTCCTTCGGGAACCTGTCCAGCCCCACGGCCGTCCTGGGCAACCCCATGGTGCGTGCCCACGGCAAGAAGGTGCTCACCTCCTTCGGGGATGCCGTCAAGAACCTGGACAACATCAAGAAATGCTTTGCTCAGCTGAGCAAACTCCACTGTGACAAACTGCACGTGGACCCCGAGAACTTCAGGGTGAGCTGTGCTCGGGCTGCAGCCTTGGCTGAGCACAGGGGGCTGGCCTCTGGAGTGGGGTCCTGGAGGGGTCTGACAGTCAGTGAGACCCCAGGAGAAACCCCGAGACTGCCCCAGCCTGGGAGTCTGCAAAGGGCAGGGGGGATGAAAGGGGAGGAACGGCCCTCTTTGGGGAGAACAGAGACAAGTTACGGAGGTGAGATGTGTGAGGGGAGGGACCCAAGCAGGGCAGAGTGGTGGGGACAAACAGAGTCAAGCACATCCTGGTGGGAAAAAACATCCTGGAGCAGCCAGAGAGCAGAAGGGAAGAAGCTGAGACAAGGAAGAAAGGGAGGGAAGAGCTGAGCTTGCCTGTGATGGAGAGGTTAAACCAGGAGGGAAAACAAACACAGCCATTTCAGCGGGAGGGATCTGAGCCCAGGGACAGCCAGGGTGGGCAGGGATGGAAAAGGAAGGGTTAAACCCAGTGGAAGCAGGGGGAGGACACTGCACAACAGGCAAGGGAAGGTGTTTGGGGAGGATCCACCACACCCAGGGATCCTGGTTCCTGCCAGAGACAAAATCTGTGCCACGGGGCTGGGGTTGGTGGTGAATTCCCCAATAACTGGTGTCCCCACACGGACACCTGGGTGGTGTGACAGTGGGGAGGGGGTGGAGGGCAGCACCTGGCTGACAGCTTCTCCTCCCTGCCCTGCCAGCTCCTGGGTGACATCCTCATCATCGTCCTGGCCTCCACCTTTGGGAAGGACTTCACCCCCGCCTGCCAGGCTGCCTGGCAGAAGATGGTGCGTGTGGTGGCCCACGCCCTGGCCCACGAGTACCACTGAGCTCCCCCCAGCATTCCTGCCTGGAGACACCCCTGGGGAATCCTCCTGGTCTCTCATTGCCGAATAAACACCAACTGCTCAGCCAAGAGGAGGTGTCTGGCTCTCTGTGGGAACAGGCTGGGGAAGGGAGAGGGGAGGATCACACACGGGGGGCAACACAAGCCATGGTCTCATTCATGCAAGTGAGACTTGTCTAAGATGGGGAATCCAGGGGAACATTCAGGACAAAACCCAAATAATCACCACAAAATGCAGAGAAACACTCTGGTGCTTTTTGGAGACATGGGGTAACATTTTTTGGTTTAATTTTTTGAGCCTTTCACAGAGTAAGTGAAACAAAACTGTACAGAAATGTGCAGTGGGAGAAAGGACAGGGAGATTGGGTACATCATTTGTACCTTCCTTCATGTAATGAAAAATGTGGGGGGTTGTTTGTTTGTTTGTTTCTCTGGTTGCTTTTTTGTTTTGTTTTGTTTGTTTAGCTATTTTTGTTCGGGTTTGTTTTTGTTTTGTGGAGGGTTTTTTGCCTAAATCATTGTCATTCTCATATTAGCAAAGGCAGAATGTCATAAACACAACTATCAAGGCCAGGTTGGACGGGGCTTGGAGCAGCCTGGGCTGGTGGAAGGTGTCCCTGCCCATGGCAGGGGTGGCACTGGATGGGCTTTGAGGTTCATCCCAACCCAAACCAGTCTGGGATTCCATGAAACACTGCCCTGCTGAGTGTGGAGGGCTGGGGGAATGTGTCATCCCCAGGGTCCTTTGGCCAAGCCCCCTCTTGTGTTGAGCAGTCAGAGGAGGAGTGGGGCACTCATTAGACACGAGGGCAGCTCATGCCCATGCCAACACTTTTCTCCATGGCCATCCAGACCCCTCTGGGGCATTCCTGCACCCCACGAGCTCCATCCCCGTGCCCAGCACCGGCATCCCACCCTGCCACCCCCAGCTGGGAGCAGGAGCAGATGTGCAACCCCAGGAGATCCGGCTGCCTCTCCCCCCTCTCGGCAACGCCACTGCTCCTCAGGCTGCCAAATCCCCGGGCAGTGTGCTATCTCCTGCTGCACATCTGTGCAGATGTTTTTTCTTCACGGGAAGGGTGCTCAGCCTGCCCAGGGGCACAGGCAGGGGCTGCCCAGGGCATTGGGCACACAGAGAGCACTCCGGGGGCTGGGAGGGTTTTTCCAGCCTCGGTGATCCTGGGATTCTGTGAGATCCCAGTATACCCAGTCTTCCCACCTCTCCTGGGGTCCCGTGAGCCAACACCCTGCAGGCAGTTGGTGTGCCCCGAGCTATAACATCTCCCTTGCAGCCCTGCTGACCTTTGCCAACAGGCTCTTTGAGGCAGGAACTCTCTCCTGGCTGCAAAGGCTCTGCCATGGTTTTAGTAGTGTCACCCTAAAGTCATCAAACTCTTCAAGAGTTGATGGGAAAGAACAGTGAGAACCCAAAGCCTGACATGTCCTTCAAGAAGAGGAGAGACACTGGTGCATTTAGAGGGAGAACCCAAAAGCCCCAAGTCTAAGCCTTCTGCCTGGGGGGTTTGCACGGTCTGAGGGGCACCAAGGCCTGCAGACACCGTCCCTGGGGGCTGCTGTGGGGCTGGCAGGGTGCCGGGCCTGGACCCGGCGTGCAGATAATGCCACCCTGCAGCGGGGCTGGAAATCAGGGATGGAGGGGACGCCCGGCCCGGCGCTGGATCTGGGCACCTTGCCCTGGGGCCCCACCCTGATGTCGGGTCCCCTCCCTTGGGGTGCCAGGGCCGCGGGGCCCCCCCGGGGGCGCAGCCAATGAAGGGGTGCAGGGGCGGGAGGAGGGGCTCGGCACAGAGTATAAAGGCAGGGCTGGCAGAGCCGCCGGCCAGCGTGCGATCCCTCGGGAGCCAGAGCCTTCTCCAGCCCTGCCACACGCAGCCCTCCAGCCGACGCCATGGTGCAGTGGACAGCCGAAGAGAAGCAGCTCATCACCGGCCTCTGGGGCAAGGTCAATGTCGCCGACTGCGGCGCCGAGGCCCTGGCCAGGTAGGTCCAGCTCCGGGAACTGCCCCACCACGCCCGGACAGAGACCACCCCAACCGCGGGAGCGTTAACGTGACCCGTGTCTGCTCGTGTCTCTCCCCAGGCTGCTGATCGTCTACCCCTGGACCCAGAGGTTCTTCGCTTCCTTCGGGAACCTGTCCGGCGCCACGGCCGTCATGGGTAACCCCATGGTGCGTGCCCACGGCAAGAAGGTGCTCACCTCCTTCGGGGACGCCGTCAAGAACCTGGACAGCATCAAGAACACCTTCGCCCAGCTGTCCGAGCTGCACTGCGACAAGCTGCACGTGGACCCCGAGAACTTCAGGGTGAGCCCTGCCCCGAGCGGGGGCTCCATTCCCCCGGCCCCCATCCCCACCCTGGCAGGGATTCACCCCAGACGTGGTGCTGCAGGGGGAACAGGGCTGCTGTTTGGAGGGAGGGGGAGAGGCAGAGGGACAGAGGGAAGGGACCAACCTGCTGCCTGGTGAGAGGGTGCAGGGGGGATGGGAAGGGGTTGTGGAGGTGGTTTCAGTGCAGGAAGGGATGGGGAGAGCAAAGAGAAGGCAGCTGTTAAACAGGAAGAGGTTTGAGCCAAGGGGAAAGCGAAGGAGCAAGAGTGAAGCTTGGCCTGGAGGAGAAGGGGGAGATGAGTGAGAAGAGCTGGATGCCTAAAGCAAAAGAAGATCTAGAGGGAGACAGAGCTTTGGTTCCTGTGTTTGTGCAGCTCAGAGTTCCCCAGTGGGGAATTAAGCCTGACATGTCTTCCCAGGGCTGGCAGAGATCCCCCCATGTCAGCATGAGCTCGTTTCTCATGCCAGGGTGCTCCGAGGTGCCCAGTGCCAGCTCCCTGCCACACTGGGAGCTCAGCTGGGTCTTCTGCTTGGGACAAACTCCCAAATGGAGCCAAAAGGGAGAAAGAAAAATTTAATCAACAAAATTTCTGGAGAATTTTCAGTTACTCTTCCCAGAGGGCATCAGAACCTGAACCTTTAGAGGTTTAAGAGCAGAGACCGGGTTCAAGGTGCATCTTAGAAAGGACTTCAGGGAGGCTTTCAAGGCTACAAATTTCCTGGAGGCTTCCCTGGGTGTCATGTGAGTGCTCGTGTGGGGCACTGCTGACCTGAGTGTGCTCTTGTCCCCCCAGCTCCTGGGTGACATCCTGGTCATCGTCCTGGCCGCCCACTTCGGCAAGGATTTCACTCCCGAATGCCAGGCTGCCTGGACGAAGCTGGTGCGTGTGGTGGCCCACGCCCTGGCCCGCAAATACCACTAAAGAGCAGGAAAGCCCCGGCAGCCCCGTGTCCTGCACCCGCTGCCGCTTCCAACAGCCAAATAAAGCTCATCCTGTGAAGCCTCCACGGAGTCTGAGTGTCCCTGAGGGGCTGGGGGGGCACTGGGGGGGCACTGGGGGGGCACTGGGGGACACTGGGGCTGGGGTGTCAGTGGGAGCAGGGCCCCAGAAAATACTCCCTGCCTTTGTCGTGTGTGGGCTGGGTGGTTTGTGTGGGATTTGCCTCTGGAAATTGTACTTTGGGGATATTGGGTTGAGCCGTCCCTGCCGCCCCCGTGGTCACACGCTGGGGAGGAACTACTCAGAATTTCACTGGGAAACCTGCCTGTCTCTCCCAGACAAGGGGAGCTGGGAGGTTTCATATTTTTGGGGGAGGAGGATAAACAAATTGAAGACTTTAATCTACCCTGGCTCATCCCTGGCATCAAACCCACCCGAAATCAGCTGAGTCACACTGGCCCAGCAGCCAGCTGGGTGGGGGCAGGTTGGAGATAAACATTTTGCTATCAAGGCCTGTCCAGACTTTGTTTATTCACTTCCCTCCCACCCTGCGCCGCCCACGCTGCAGTTTGGGGGGTTCTGATCCTGCCAAGAGCAGAGGCCTCATCATTTTCTGGGGGCAAGGATGGATCAGTGCTCTGCACACGCAGGGTGCTGGGTGGGTTTGGGTGTGTGCAGAGCAGGACTCGTTTGGGCAGAGCTCGTTCTTGGCACGGGAAGCACCATCTGAACGGTGACGCAGCAAAAACGGTGGGGAACTGCAGGGACCTGCTCGTTTCTTAAGGGGAAACATTGGGCAAAGCTCTTTTACCCCAGGATCTCTGCACTGTGGCCTAACCCTGCTTCAGCCACGTTTCTGGGCACTCCACTCTGCCCTGACCCACAGGAGAGTGTTAAAAACCCTCTGTGAGCCATAAATGCCCTTTCTCACACACGTCTGCCAAAGGAAGAGGCTTTTTGTTCCTGCTGTCAAGGCAGACACTGAGAAGGTGAGAAGACAAATTGCAGAGAGTCCCAAAGGGTTTTTCTCCCTGCAGGGAGGCTGGGTGGGCACAGCAGCACCAGAACCCCCCAGTTCTTAATGATTTTTCATAGGTTTCATGATAGATAATAATGGTTTTGTATGAATATGATTGTTCACAGACTTCAGGGGGGAATGACTGAATTATTTGCATAAGTAGTTCTGCTGTAAGTGAGGTGTGTGGGGGTAGCAACGACTAGAGAGCTGGAGAGGGACTTCGGACAAGGGCTGGAGGGACAGGACACAGGGAATGGCTTCCCACTGCCAGAGGGAAGGGATAGATGGGAGACTGGGAAGGAATTGCTGGCTGGGAGGGTGGGCAGGCCCTGGCACAGGTTGGGCAGAGAAGCTGTGGCTGCCCCTGGATCCCTGGAAGTGTCCCAGGCCAGGTTGGACGGGGCTTGGAGCAGCCTGGGCTGGTGGAAGGTGTCCCTGCCCATGGCAGGGGTGGCACTGGATGGGCTTTAAGGTCCCTTCCAACCCAAACTCCTCCATGATTCTATGACCCTGTAAGCCAAGCAAACCTCTCAGATCAAACCCTAAAGATCAGCCCAGCAGGACAGGGCTGGGCTGGAACTCCTGATGTTCCTTTTGGGGTCCCCCTTCCCGGGAGCAGGGAGAAGGAGCGTGACAGGATGGGAACAGTCCCACTGGTGCTGCCCATGGCTTCACCCT